TAAAAGCATGAGTGGTGTGGAGAGGGTGCATAAAGAAAAGTTCTTCATTAGTTCCCATAATAGAAGGACTAGAGGACACCAAATGAAAGGAATGGGCAGCAGGCTTCAAACTAATAACAAAAAGTTCTTCTTCACAAAGCAAATAGTCAACCTGTGGAGCTCCTTGCCAGAGGAGGCTGTGAAGGCTAGGACTATAATAGAGTTTAAAGAGAAGCTAGATAATTTCATGGAGGTTAGGTCCATAAAAGGCTATTAGCCAGGGGATAAAATGGTGTCCTTGGCCTCTGTCTGTCAGAGGCTGGAGAGGAATGGCAGGAGACAAGGAGCTTGATCCTGCCTTGAGGGCGGGGGGCTGGACTCGATGACCTCTCGAGGTCCCTTCCAGTCCTATTATTCTATGATTCTATGATTGTCTTCGGTCCACCCTCTCTGGGGCACCTGGTGCTGGCCACTGTCGGTAGACAGGATACTGGGCTAGATGGACCTTTGGTCTGCCCCAGTACGGCCGTTCTTATGCACCTCATATAGGAGAGCTGAGGGGACACAGATGTTCATCAGTCCAGATTGTATCCTGGTTTATCACACAGGCCTCATATGGGTGCCTCATATGAGACAGCGAGGACACAGGGTGTGGAAGGGAGAGCAAAGTAAAGAGAAGGGAGTGATTCTCCTTAACCACTGGCAGAACGAGGAACACAACCCAAGTTTTCTGAATCCCAGACCAGTAGGTCTTATCACTAGATCACATTACATCTCTGTTCCGATGCCAACTCCAGCCTTCCATGACAATCCCCAGTCCTGTGCTTTCCTCTCATTACTCTGCCCTCACAAATCCTCTTCCCCCACTCCTTCCAGATGAGGCTGTAGAAGTCATAGTATCATAGAGCTGGAAGAGACCTCAGGAGGTCATCAAGTCCAGCCACCTGCCCAAAGGCAGGGCCAATCCCCCTGCCCAAAGGCAGGACCAATCCCAAACCAAGTCCATTATTCTGACCTCCACCCCACTGAGAAGCCAATGTAGGGCCTGCCATTCATATACCTGTACAATGAGGGATCTAGCAGCCCATACATCTCCCTTTCCTCTGCAGTAAGGCCAGCAAACATATAGTAGAAAACATGAAAATTCCTCTCTCCAGCATCTTGTTGCACCACACGTGACTTCTCCAACAGATACTCACTCAGCTTGGCACCCCTCACTGCATGGAGAAAGGGCAGAAGGAAAGAAATAATGACACAAAATGAGGCGTTCAACACATCCAGAGACCTAGCCCTGGGTTTCACCTGTATTCCTTTGAAACCTCAGCTGTATGTATTTTCCAAAGCGACTGCTGTTGTCATTCATCACTGTTTGTGCGTTGCCAAAAGCTTCGAGCAATGGGTTCACCTGGAACAGAAATGCACAAAGTTGACATGGAGGTTTAAGTGTAGCCCAATGTCCAGTGTGCTTCAACAGCAGTCCTGGAAACTACAAGTTGTGGACTACAAACTGCAGCATGTTGGGAGAACTTTCTGGTTCCTGCCAGGATGTACTCTCTATCCCCAGCAGGGTCTCAGCAGGGACTGAGCTAGAAGCAGCATGTGATCTGCATGCAGAGAGAAGGGGCTGCTGGACTGTGATCCTGTTCTATGTATTGGTTTACATAATAAAGCCTGTTCCTGGTGGTTTGTCTAAGTGGGTGTCTGGTCTGAGGTGGACACCCACTAATACACAATTGCAGAGCACACCAAGGAGCCTCAGGCCTAGTCTCCCACAGTTGTTTAAGACATCACAAGGCTTCCGCTATGCTGAATAACCTTACAGTGGGCTAGTGAACAGGAGGGGTTACATAAGGAACAGAGAATCTTTAATATTCCCTACCATCAACAGTGGCCCAAGTAGACTGCAGAAAGAATCAGAGGTATCATGTAAAATAGCCTCATGGCCTCTTGAAAATCCAGAGGGAAACACATAAGATTTGAGTTGATGAAATGCAGCATGAAATACACAATTTAGCAAAATAATGCAATGCAACCTTGGATTGTATAACATCCTGGAGCAAGGAGAGCACAGTAATGCTTGTCAGATCCTGGCAAAAACCCTTGGGATTCTGCCCTCAGCCCCTTAATCCTAGAGCCTCACACTCCTACCAAGCAGGAAGGGTGAAGAGGGGTCCCTTTCATGGGTGGCCCCACATGGGATCTTGTGTGCAGGTCTACACAACTCAAAGTCAGAAAGACAGACACACTGTGGGAAGTTCATAGCAGAGGGGAAAAAAAGTAATATGGGGCAAAAGGACTCAGAAGAGAATCTGTTAAGCTTGGTTAATAATAATTGGAGATCTTAACTCCTGCATCTCATTGGCAGCTCATGTTCTACTGCAACCTTCATTGCTTTCCATGATTCTGTCTTCTCTCTGGGAAGCCTGACCTACATTTTTTGTGCCTACGTATATGGCCTTTCACCTGCCTATGTTAGGCCAGAAGTTGTACAAATAAGCCCATATTACCAAGTAATGGAGATTGGCATGTATAATTGACCTGTCATTCATTATTTGGTACGTAAATTTGTGGGACATTTGCAAGTTTTACTAATGATATATTTCCTCCCATATCACTGATATTATATTGAATGGCAGTGAACCAAGAACAGATCTCTGTAGGAATCACTTAAAAATAGTGTCACTAGAGGACAATTCCCAATTACAAGAGAAGGTTACTCACTTTGTGCAATAATAGAGGTTCTTCGAGATGCTCCACCTTAGGTTGTAGGGGTAACATATTAATGTATTAAAAATGTGATTCCCCCAAATGGAAGTGACTCCCCATAATTTGTTCCCCACAACTTAAAGTATTTAGATTTATTATTAATTCTTCTTACTTATTATTATTTGTTAAGATTGTTAAATGTTTAGATTTATTATTATTATTGCCCCCTTTAGAAAATAATGTATTAGGTAATATAACTTAGAACTGTTAAAAATATAATCCTATGTAACCAGAAACAGCCCCCGCCCTCTGTGCTCCAGGGCATGCTCAAGCTTGTGCAAGGGGCTGCTTGAAATTGACATTGCAGAGATACATTGTAACAATGCATTGTCAAGCCACTAACTCTGCTATGGGAGCCAAGCCCTGTAATTGACTAAGGCCATTGTTACTTAATTGAGGCCTGTTCTCTTTAAAACATTGTAACTTTATTCAGCACTCAGAGAATGTTTTAAGCAATACCACCCAGAAACTTTCTGTAACTACAACTTTTATTATTATACAAAATACTGTATGAATGTATGAGAGAGTGCTTGGATGATGAGTGAATGGTTCTAAGAGGTGCCAGCCTGAGAATACAGCAACAAAGGGCTGAAGAAGGCGTCAGGTGCCAGTGCAACCAAAAGGTGTCAAGTGGAGAAACTGGAGGTCCACCCGATGAGATCACTGATGAGCACCTGGCAGCCACCCTGGAGACATCAGCATGATGCAGCAGTTTCCATAGACTGGCATAGGAAGAAATTCCTATAAGAACTGGACTAAAAAACTATGGAATCAGAGTCCAAGGTTCTGCTGCCAGCCTACCAGGAGCTTCAGATGCGCATCTGATCAGGACTTCGCTCCCCACTACCATCACTTGTGTACAGAGTACCTGGCCAGTATCCTGTCACAAGCAACTTCCAGGCTGGTAACTATACACAGAACCTGAATGAATGGATGTATGAATGAATGGTTTATATATATATATATATATATAAGTGTATAAGGGTTAAGTAGTGTTAGGAATAAGTAGTTAAACAACGTTGTTTGCTTCTATCTTTTCTTTATTTTTTATTATTATCTTTACAATAAATGTGGCTTTTTGCCTTATCCCCCTCATAAGATCCTGTTTGCTTTTATTTGGTACAACAAGGTGTCTTGGGTGGTGCTGCGCACTTAGTTGAAGATTTCTGGTAGCCGTGCTCTCCAGCGTACCACGCATGCGAGGCAGACAGCATGTGTGGTGCCTCCACCATGCATGTGCGGCAACCATCTCTTCAGTTCCTTCTCTGCCTCAGAAGGAGAATGTGGCCCACCAAAGCAGAGGGGAGGAAGCGAGGGTGGTGGAGGACCCACAGGGACAACCATCTCGAAGAACCTCCGTTATTGGACAAGATGAGTAACTTTCTCTTCTTCTTTGAGGAGTGTCCCTGTGGGTCCTCTACCTTAGGTTACTATGAGCCGTACCCGTGAAGAAGGCGAGTGCTTCAGTTAGGGTTAGGGTATCTTGTACCATATGGAGGACAGTGTTGCCAAAAAGGGAACCCTTAGAGGGGTGACTATCCAGGGCATAGTGCCTTGTGAATGTGTGGGTGGAGTACCACATGGCCACCCTACAAATGTCCATGAGGGGAATGCCCCACATGTAGGCCATGGTAGTGGAAGTAGCCCTAGTTGAGTGGGCCTTGACATGGAATGGGGGTGACTGTCCTCTAGTAGTACAAGCTAAAATAATACCTTCCACTATCCACCGAGATATCCTCTGAGTGGAGATAGGCATGCCAAACAATCCCTTCATGGTGGAAACGAACAGTCTGTTTGTTTTGCGAAATTGCTTAGTTCTGTCCAAGTAGAAGGAAATCGCATGTCTTGCATCAAGTGGCACTTGCGTGAGGTTTTGGGGAAAACACAGGTAAGATCATAAGATTATGTTACAGTGAAAGTGTGAGGAAACCTTTGGGAGGAATTTCAGGTAAGGATGCAAGACTATTTTGTCTTTATATAATATGATGAACAGTGGGTCTGACATGAGAGCACCAATTTCACTGACTCTCCTGGCCGATGTCAGTGCTATGATCAAGGCCACTTTCATGGAGAGATGAAGCATGGAACATGTTGCCAGAGCTCTTGCTTTTACTGCGCCTTGTCACTCGCCACTGGAAGCTCCATCTACGGGGTGCAGTGCATCCCACCCGACACCAGTGTGACGGCGTGTCGGGGTCCCCTGCCTCCTGCACCCTCGTAGTGGCACGAACAGACTCCACCAGCCAGTAGAATAGAGGGAATTTATTGCTCCTCCAGGATACAGCACAGCACAGATGTAATCTGGTTACAGGAACTGGGGCTAGGATGCCTCAGCCCCCCTTGAGATGGGGCTTTCCCTAGGCTGTCTCCTCCAGGATCCCAGACAGAAACTAACTCACCCCAGCCCTGCCCCCAGCCAGGGCTCCACCCTCCTTTTTCCCATTGTTTCGCTCCTTAGGAGATCACTGGGCAGACAGGTTCGAAGCCCCCTTTGCATAATGATTCATCCCCTGCCCTGCTGGGCTGTGCTGCAGCCAGCAGCCAGTGGAGGGCACTCACAACCCACTGCCCAGCATAGAAACCAGCAAGGTACCCCCCACTACGTCACAGCCTGTAAGTATATGTCATGCTCTATGCACCATGTCCAGAGACGGAGAGCTTCTCTGCATAACAGGAAAGATCTGGTGCCTGCTTGCCTGTTTACGTAAAAAGTCGTTGCTTGATTGTCCGTGAAAATCTGAACTGTACAATTTTTTATTTGATGAAGTGTTAACACGCATAGAATACTGCCCTGAGCTCCAGAACGTTTATGTGGAGGCTGGATTCCTGGTCTGACCCTTGATCCTGGGTAGTGAGGTGGCCTAGATGAGCTCCCCACCCAAGGAGAGATGTATCCTTTGTAATTGTCTTGGACGGGATATGTTTGCAAAAAGGGACACCAGCGCACGTTTCTTTGGTCTGTCCACCAGTGGAGGAGAGCTTGATATTGGTTCGGACAGACACTATCTTGGAGATTGAGTTGTATACGGTCCAGAGCCAATGTTGCATTGATTGCATGCAAGACCACCACGGTGACTGCGGCCATGTGGCCCAGTAGCTGTAAATTGTTTGCAACCAATGCCAACAAGAAGCGTCCACATTACTCTTCACGTGCGGGCAGTGGCACACACTCCCTGGGGGACGTGTTTGCAATACAATGGAACGCAACGTTCTCATATCTCATCGTTGTGCTTGGTGTGTCCTGTATTATCATTATGAGGTCTCTGATAGCGTGAAATCTGTTGAGGTGTAAGGAGGCTATAGCCATCATGTAGTTGAAGTGGGCTCCGATGAATTTGATCGTTTGTGATGGTTGGAGTTTGCATTTTTTAAGGTTGATCTGTAGCCCCAAAGTGCGAAAAAGGGATCTGGTGAGGGAGACTGCCTCCAGTGCAGCCAAACTTGTAGTTGCTCTTATTAGGCAGTCGTCCAGATATGGGAATATGGAGACTCCTTGTCTGTGCAGTTGAGCAGCCACAACTGCTAGTACCTTTGAAAATATCCTTGGGGCTGTAGAAAGCCCAAGGGAAGGACCGTGTACTGGTAGTGTTTGCTGGTGACTGTGAACCTTAGGTACTTGCGATGTGCTGGATGTATGGA